TTACCAACAAAACTACACCCAAGGCAGATCTCCAACCCCCAGGAATCGGGATATCAAATGCTTTAGGTGCTTGAGATTGAGACACATTGTTTCTCAATATCCAAACAAAATGGCGATGATCTTGTAAGACAATGGAGAAGTGGTGAGTGATAGTGAGGGTGATTATGACGACATACTGGAATTGGAAGACGCTATTAATGGTGAAAAAGTGTAGTATGCAATGGAAAAGCTGTTGGTTACACGACGAGCTATTAGTGTTCGAATCAAAGTAGATGACTTGGAGGAAAAAAAAGAGAACATATTTCATACGAAATGTCACGTCAACAACAATGTATGTAGCATGATTATTGATGGGGCTAGTTGTATCAATGTGGCTAGCACTACATTTGTTGAGAAATTAAGTTTGACTATGCTAAAACATCCTAACCTTACAAATTGCAATGGTTGAATGGACGTGGAGAGGTCAAAGTGAATAGGAGAGTGTTGATGAGTTTCTCAATTGGAAGATATCATGATGAAGTGTGTGATATAATTCCTATGCATGCCAGACATTTTGTTGGGAAGGCTACGACAATAGATAGGAATGTGATACATGCTGGGTACAAAAATAGGTACAACTTTACTAAAAATGGGAAATCTATTACTCTTACACCGTTAACACCAAAAGAAGTTTATGAAAATCAAATCAAGTTGAAAAATGAAGAAGAAAAAAGATTGAGAGAAAATGACAGTGAGATTGATCTTTCACAACAAAAAAGCAATAGAGAAAAAAGAAGGCGGCTAATTATGAGAAAAAATAGCAGAGCCATATGAGAGTAAAGAAAAAGAGTCTCATGAGAAGAGGAAAAGTCGAAAGTGAATTTTTTTTGTGAAAGATAGTGAGTTAAAGGTGGTGGTATTTGAGAACCAACCTATAATTTTGTTGGTTTATAAGGAATCACTTTTCAACTTTGAGGAATTTAAAACATTCCTTCCAAATTTGACTACTTATTTGATGCAAGAATTAGAAAACTTGTTTTCGGAGGACATGCCTTGTGGGTTACCATCCATCCGAGGTATTGAGCATCAAATTGGCGTCGTACCTGGAGTTGTCATTCCAAATAGGACAGCATATCAGAGTAATCTTGAGGAGACCAAAGAACTTTAAAGGCAAGCGGGAGAATTGATGAGCAAATGATATGTGTAGACGAGGCGAATCAGCCCGTGATTCGGCCCATGAACCGTGTGGGCCAAATCACGGGCTGCCCGAACCTTGAACCGGTCCGGGCCGGTTCAAGGTGTAACCGCTGGCCCGGTTTTAAAAAAAAATTAATTGCGCCTGCAGCTGCAGTCAAAACGATCAAAAGACCGTTCTGACCTTTTTTATTTTATTTTATTTATTTATTTTTTTTGCATAGTTAACGGTAAT